ACCTGAACTAATGATAGGGAGTGAAGTAGTTGAGCGTGTAGACCACTTCACTTATCTTGAGTCTCATCAGCCCTTGTGGTCTGGTATGTGACGAAATCTCAGCACGGATACAGAAGGCTCGTCTAGCTTTCGCCAACTTGCGTCATTTATGGCGTAGGCGAGATATCCGTCTAGCAAAGGACGGGTTTACTGTGCAGCAGTTCGCTCCGTCCTACTTTATGGCAATGAAACATGGCCAATAAGAGTAGAGAATATTCAAAGGCTACTAGTGTTCGATCATAGGTGTCTTCGAAGCATTGCTCGTATATCCTGAGACCACCGGGTAAGTAATGGAGTTGTTAGAAAACGAGTACTAGGTAGGGATGGCAAATCGATTGATGAAGTAGTGAAACTTCATCAGTTGAGATGGCTGGGACATGTGTTACGTATGCCCGACCACTGACTGCCCCGACGTGCAATGTTTCATGGTGTAGGAGTAGGTTGGAAGAAAGCTAGGGGTGGCCAGACCAAAACGTGGCACAAATCAATGAAGTCACTGACAAGTGGACTGGGCCATGTTGGTAGGTGTAGACTACCTGGTTGGGATTCGCGAGATGACAGCAACCGATGGTTAGAGACCTTGAATGACATGGCTCAAAATCTTTTACAATGGCGAAGGTGCATCCACTCTTTGTGTTCTACCAAATTCTAATCTTCTGAATTCCTCATGTCTTTATCTTTTTCTCTTTCCAAATTTATTTCACTGTACTATACTTCTTCAATAATTTCTTCAAACCCTAAACATTTGGATTTCTGATTATACTCCTACTACCACTATGGGATTTGAATCCACAACTGCATCTCTGTGTTAATGTGGTATGGCACGTATGTACGAAGTTCTACGTTGTGACTGACTGACTGACTGGAGGCAGAAACGACGGAAAGGCAGCGACGTGTGTCCCTATCCTTATGAGTTTTTACAGAGCCCGAAAGTACACAGGCGACTGTTAACGCGGATCCATTCTAATAGTGCTTGTTCTGCTCTTGTACTAAGTGCTATGCCTACACCTGCAAGTCCACGAGAACTAGCCAACGGGTCGCCAGATACACTGAGGGTGTATTTCGTCAACTGTCCATTTTGGCGAGGCGAAGTCAAATGAATGACCACACTAGGATCCTGTATGCGTGTTTCGGAGACACAGCATACATCAATGATACAAGATTCTAGGGTTTTAGCCAAGGAGGCCTGTTGGCCGATTTAACATAGGGTGAGTGCGTTGAAGGCTCCAATGTGTAGTTTGGAGCGAGGTTTTAGTAGACCTGGGACGGAATCGTTGGCTATGGTGACACGTGGAGAGGAAGCCGAAAGAGGAAGTTTAGTGTTGAAAGTAGAGGTGTTAGGAAAAATAAGAATTGAAGAAGGAGACTGATTATGAATACAGTGATCTTGAGTGCTGTTATAGGTATGAGGGCAGTTATCACTTCCCGGTTGTCCACACTGTGGAAGGGTTCCTCTAGAGGTAAATGAAAAGAAAATTGGATTAGAAGAGGTCTTAATGACCTGAGAGCGTGACCGCAGTGCCCAAGAGACAATTGCTTGAGGCTGGTCACACACGACCTTTTTGTGGGTAATTTTTGTGTTAGCTCCGTTATTCAAAGGACCTTACCGCCGGAGACGGATATCCGTGGGATAAGGCGAGGTGTGAATTTTCAGGGTCGACCTTTTCTAACCCCACCCCTCCTTGTGGGAAGGCAGCATCGCTGTTATGCTGGTTGTCTGAAGGAAACACCTTACTGCTTTCACACCTCTGTACAGTCAGCAGTACGACTTCGCCTTCGGACCTTGGGATTGCTGCTTTTAGTCTCACCGCTCTTCAACCGACCTGTCTGGCATGGTAGGACCCTGAGGAACGGATGTTTCAGCCAGTATAGCTCGATTAGTAAGTGTAAGTAGAGCTTAATGCAATGACTTGATATTCATTTTTAGATGAGAGTAAACCCATACGGTACGGTATTATTGGTCAGGCTTTAAGGACCGTAGTATCACGCTATCTCTACGGTAATACCTTTGAAAATCACAAAAAAACATGGTGTATATTCAAGTGCTGTTTTCTAAAACCGTGGGAAGGTTACTTAATAGTTAAATAACTTGACTCGTAACCACCGAGTTGCGGACTCGAACCCTGTCAACTTTATTTCGGACAGCTGAGTAGTATTACCACCTTTCAAAGATGAAAAGAATGAATGAATAGCACACTCGATAAATAAACTACAACTAACTTGAAACTAAACCTGAAAGGGACACAATTCGGAAAACAAGTGAGTCATATAAGAATTCACCAAGGTCAAAGTGATTCTTGGAAATCAACTTCCAGAAAACATGTTAACTAAAATATGGTGACATATCAGTCCGACATTTAAAAGATACTTAATACGGAAATTAGCTTTGAAAGGAAGAACCCAATACTCAACTCAATAATTTATTTTACTGTAAGTTAATGTAGTTAACTTGCTATGTCGTATGGATGCATGTAGTCGTTGACCAACTTATATGAAATATCGTGCATTTTAGATATACGTTTGTGCATAATACTAATATTCAACAACTCCGACTTCAGTACAGTGAATGACACCATTTTCATCCTTTTCTTCTCTGCTCGAATAACTAGAGTAAAACAACCATTTTAGCGATGGGTGCTTTGTATTTAACAACCACAGTACAATTGAAAATATATTTAAATTAATTTTATTTTAATTAAAATCTATGATTTGAGTATATGCAACTGAACAAAACCCATAGTAAAAAATGCACTGAGGATCAATCAACGGAGTTCACACTGAATAATTGGATGTAACAGAAAATTACCAAAATCAATAATGATTTCTTTTGCCATAAATTATATTTGAGGATCGTACATCTTCAACATTTAATATTTTCATTGACCAGATTAGAAAATCAGACATAATTTAGCGTTATTTTGATATAGCTTTAAATCAATGGTTGTATTTGTTGTGGATCTATTTTGTAGTATTAAGGAATGCACAAACGCAGTTATGTATAATACATTAGGCCGAGAAATACTAGTATTTGTACTGTTATGAAGTGGCAAATAGCGATCCAGAAGGATGTAACAAACAGCCATAGCAATATTAATGCACATCACAATAAATTAATAAAGGACCAGTCAGTTGGCGAGATCGTACCCAACGTAGGTGATAGGTGTTCGTTGGCAAAAGTTTTCACACCACAACACAGTATGATGTAAGTTTCAAAACAAATTCTCGAGTGGTAGTAGAATAATATTAGTAATAGCATCAGTGGTAGTACAACAGATTATGTATATAGGGATAGAAAAATTATGGGATAATTTCAAACTGGAGATCTAAGGGAAAATGCTGAATGGGTGCATCTGTACCAATTAGAAATATCCTAAACCACGTCACTCAACGTTTCTACCTATTGGTTACGATAGATGTAACACCAATCAGGTGACCTGCATCTGACAACATGGTTCAGTCTAACAGTGAATGGACTTTACGGATTGATGTCACAGCTTGATTTGGTAGAGCCCACACAGTCACGCGTATACAGCCTCTGCCAAGGAAGTCCTACTCACTGCCTTCTCGCACCACGGGTGTTGTTTACAAAATTAAGAGGACGAAAAACGAATGTCCGGAGCTTTAACCAGGCTGGTGAACACGGTGAGTTCAACTAGGGGATTTGGGAAACCCTGATTTCAAACCAATGGTGTGCATGGGCTCCAGTACCCCAAACGAACAAATGGCATATGAACCTACCATCGGTCATCGGCTACCATGGGACTACATCTAACGCTGATCCTCTGCTTCGTGGATTAGCCATGTGGGTCAAGGGCTCGGGGAGTTGGCCCCTAAGAAAACGACTTGTATCGGTTTGGGCGCCCTGGCAGTATCATATCCCACACACAAATCAAGTGACTTGTGTGGCGCACAAGTATTCGGTGCCCCTTTGTACCAATATTTATGTGTAATACATGTACTAAGCTCTCCAGTAGATGAGAATCCACTATTGTATCAGTCAATTCGCCACACTGACCCCTTACACTGAAGCTAACTTCAGTATTGCTTTTGAGGTGATTCCAAAATATACAAGAAATGTTTCGAATGTATGCACACAATTTTAACAAGTAGAACAGCGTTTGACATATCCTTGGGAGAAAACATATAGTTTACGACTAGAAGTTATATAAAGGAAAGGTTCACCTTAAAAACTAGGAAAATCACGCTTACTATTTTCTGAGGAAATCAACATCGTGAATTTACATATAGTAATGTAATATATGAAAATCTTTGTAAATAACTAGTATAGACAAATATTATCGATTCCTTACTGATCTGATGATGTAATATCAGGGACCAATCGAAACTTAAGCTAATAAACACTTGAGGGAACAAAACAGTTTAAATTCTATGTTAAAGTAGTTCGTGATTGTCAACAAAGTCAATTTGGTAGCAAAGCAATAAATCTATTGTAAGCTCAATAAAGTATCGTAAGTCACAATAATAGACACTATCATTACTATGACTCTTTCGGTAAGGAACTTTTTATCTTTCTGTTGATGTAGTGTAGCTACCGCAGCTCATGAATATTGATACGAGGTAGTGTTGCTTTAATGGACGGATGGGCCTAGAGACAGTTAGTCATAATGACTTTTTTCAAGATTGATGATGAACTGACTAGTTTTCAAAGCTGTAAAATGACTTTTTTTACATTTATTACACTTGAAGAAAAATATAACAGTATCTCGAGATGAAAGGAAATTCACAAAAACTCAGATTGTATTTGAAAGTGATCTTGAGTCAATATACATGTATATGAAGGTAGATAAAGTGTGTTTATGTGTGTGAAAAAGAAAACCAATTATACTGTACAAATTCAATAGAACAAATAAAAATGCTGATAGGAAAACTGGTTTACAATCTTCATAAGGGAAAAATGTCGAGAGAGATTTGAATAAGAAACGAAAATTTCACCGACGTACTTTAGGTTTGCGTTTAGTTTTTTGCTTCCTGTTGAGGCTAACTTGAGAAGGAGACCAACGATCATCTGATGAGAATGAGTCAATTGACAAGTCATCATCTTCATCAGTACATTGTGATGAATTAACAAAAGATGAATCGTTTGATGGTTCTGAAGTGGAAACGCAAGACATTTCCGAAGTATATAAAGATTGACTAGAAGAGTCACTATCATCAGATATATTTGAAGGTCGGCGTCGACGAGGTCGCTTACGAATAGGACGTTTTTTATTGGATTGAGCAATGACAGAATTTTTCTTAGATTTAACTTTTTTACTAGTACTGCTTGTTGAAGGGAGATTTTCAATTTCTTTTTGATTTTGTTCATTGGATGCTTCAGATGTACTTCTGATACGAGTAGATCGTTCTTGTATTAGGCGTGCTAATGCAGCAGCTTGTTGCTGTTTAATTATATGAGCATTGCGACGACCAGTACTTGTAGAAGAACTTGCTATTGAACAAGGTTTATCTGGGAATTCATCTATAAAACAACAAAGATAGAAATACAAAGTAGACTGAAGATTAATGAATAAAATATTTGAAAACAAGTAAAATCTTTCATTCATTTTCAGCTGCTTAGGATGAAATAATATAAATCCAATTAAAATAATAAAGCGATCAAATTGTAAACAAACAAATACTATGTCTATAAAGAGTAGGAGAACTCACTAAATAAACAATCATAATTTGTTTACCAACAGTATATATATATATATATATATATATATATATATATATGAAAATAAGTCTGACTATCTAGACAAAATATTAAAAGTTATGAGCAGTGTGTAAATTAACCCAACTGACTGTAAGAACAGTTAGCCTGGGAAAACAAAGTTGAAGTTTCAGTTACTAAAACCGGTGATTAGAAAAGCAAAAGAAGCGCAAAATGAAGCATTAGAACATTAAGATGAGATCATGGATTTATTATAATCAAAAGCTTTCAAGAAATTAAGAATAAACAGAATAATGGGCAAAACTGGTTTAATGAATGACAACATAGATTGACTGAAGTTAAGCAACCACTGTGAAACAGCAAGGACTGGACAGCCATCTCACACCATTATGGGACCCACCAGTGGGAGCACTCGTTCACAATGATGTCAGAGATCGTGGCTGGGTTTTTTAGAAAGCGCTTAAACTTTAGACCATTACATAGACAAACATCCTTGCTGGCGAGGCCATAGACTTACATTTCCCCCAGGGAGTTTCATACCATGACGAAACAACTGTCTAGTGCTTTCCTATTTTTAATGGTTGTCTGAGGCCAGTCTGTGATTAACACCACAAAAGTTTTATAAACCCCCTCTATTTATTTATTTGAACACATGAACAGTGAAACAAAGGGGCAATAAATACACATGCGCCGTACAATAACAATGAGGTTGTGAAGATATAGAGAATGTAAAGTGTGTATAATAATAATAATAATGGGGGAAACAGTTCGGTTAGTGAGGATACAACCAGAAAGAATTCCTTCAGTTGAAGTCACATTTACTTTTATGAAGTAAAATAAGGTTACAGCAGAATCGCCATTAGCTTCTATTCTGAGCCATGTCTGATAACGTCCCTAGCTACTGAGTCGCACCATCTCTAGGACTCCAACCAAGGAGTCATGAGGGATCAACAGACGCCATTCCTGTACAACTTTCTTTCATACCACGACATCATGTCATACAATGACTACATCTCTACTTTTCCCAACCAATGCCAGCGTCGGAAAACAATGAACGACGTGGAACCTGGGAATACATTCGTAAGTCATGTCTAAGCCACCGAAGCCGGTGTTTCAAGATAGTGACAATAGTTGGATTGTTGTCGCTGTGCCCGAACACACGATGTCGAATCTCTGAATTATTAACATGGTGTTGTCACCGGATGTTTGCAATCTTTCGGAGACAACGATGATCAAACGCAGAGAAACCAGGTTTCATAAGCATACAGCGAAAATGCTCTTACCGAAGTGTTATAGATCCAAACGTTTGCTCCCAGACTAACATCATGAAGGACCCAAAGATGGTCCAGATTGGCATAAACCACTCTGGCTTTCACTATACATGAACTGATCTCATCACTCACGCCATCAGCAGCAATTACGCAGCTACCAAGATGCACGAACTTCTCGACTACTACTATCTGCTCACTACCGAGGTTGAGTGCAGGATCACGGTCCAGTCACTCTTGTAAAATTACTTTGCAGTTTGAAGGTGCAAAGCACATGTCATAATTACAGACACTGACTGCCAACTGATTAAGTGTGAATTACATGGCTTGGGTATCTTCGCACAATAAGACAATATTATCCGCATACTCTGGGTCGAGAAGTCTTTCTCCAGGAAACGTACCCACACCACCATTACCTTCATCCATCCGAGCTGTTTCCATAACATCATTGATAGCAAAGTTGAAGATAAATGGTGAGCCTGAGCAACCCTGTAATAAATATGACAGTGTTCTAACATTTGCTGGAGGGTAAAGATATGATCAATACATCCTCGACTAGAATCAAAGCCAGCGAGTCAATCTTTCTCGGATTTTTGAACAATATACTAGGTATGACGGAAGCCAATGGTCTGGACGCAATCGGTAGTAGACTTATCACCCGAAAGTTGTTGCAGGAACGATGTGGACAATTTCTTAAGATAGGGACAAATATCGACTCATTCCGTGATGTTGGAATACTCTCCAACTGCCAGACATTTGTAAACAACTCAGTCAGTTCTTTAACCAGAAAGTCATTACCATCTTTAGAAAGGACTGGAGGTAAGTCATCTGGGTCTGGTGATATATAGGGCTCCAAGATTCGGGTTTCCTTGCGGACTTCCACGCCGTTAGGTGGATCAGTCGTCACAGGTCATGGAGGGTAGGGCAGTTTGATCGATGTTGCCAGTAAAACACCTTACATTAATAAAATCACGGGTTAACAATTTATTATAACATGAAAACTCACCTTCAGAATCAGATGTTAATACCTTCTTAGATGTTTTTGGTCTACTATTAACCTTGTTATTATTAGGTCTAGTTGAAGTTCCTTTCCTCTTAGACCCACCACCATCAAAAGCAAGAGATAATGCCTTGTTATATAACAATTTTTCATTATCTTTTAAGGAAATATGCGAATTTCTTTTAAGCATTGTTTGATTCACTCGATGAGCAGTTACTTCCAATAGTCGTTGATAGAAAGCAGATTTAGAATCATTGATATCAAACTGATTTATATTGTTAAAGGAACTATTAGAGGTTCTCAGCATAGTTTGTACAAGTCCTGGAGGCCAATTACTGTCTGCACGTGAAATCTGTTTGGGATCCATAGTCAATTCATTACGTATAGCGGTAAATTCATCTAAATGTGAATTTAAATCATTTTCTTCAGTTGAGCCAGACAAAGAATTGGGAATACTTATAGACGGTAACGGGCTAATCACTATTAACGGACCTTTATTACCAAATCGAATTTCATCTCTTGTACGAATAAAGTCAGATGAAAGATCCGACTGTTGAATATCATTTGTCGGGACAATATGATCAGTAGTAAAAGGGGCCTCCAATATTCTGTTATTTGGTTCACAGAGTGATGAAGAATCTGAATCGTCATTTGTCAGATCAATTTCAAGCGTAAAAGTTCGTGTAGACTGCGTATTACTTGAGCTATGGAGAATCGAAAATAGAAGTGATATAGATATACGTAAAAACTGGTTCAAACGTAGCTAGTTACATTTTAAGTTATCAAATATATTAAAAACACTGGTAATTCCGACAAGAAGTTATCATAGTGGTGATATTTTTATAGACAGAAGATATAAAAACAGACGGATTGGGGCTAGTAGTAGCATCAAGGATTAGTGTTTCGTCCCGCCTGGGACTCATCAGCCCAATATACCCTTCTTTAATAATAATAATAATAATACATAAGATATGACTTTCCAACTCCCGAAAATGTATGCTCATATGACGTGGGTTTGTTTCCCGAAATTTTATCGTTTCCTGTTTTTTAAATATCTGTTGCTCTAGTATTATCAGATGCAAACACAACAGTATTAAATCTATTGCACAACTTATTCAACTGTTTATAGATAAGTACACATTATATAATACAAGAGAAACGACTGAATACATGTAAACACTAGTGGAACATATAAAAGTGTTGACTTACATAATACTTTTTTCTTTTAAACATGGAAAACCATTATTTATGTCATTTTTCTGACTGTTATTACAAGTGGTTTTAAGCTTGTCAACTTTTTGTGGACACTGATTGATACTTTTATTATTACGGTCATTTTGGAGATTTGTCTCCGCCTCCTTTATATCATTATTATTATTATCATTATGATCATCATCATCGTCACTTAAGATAATTACGTCAGGTTCTAGCTGATAATGGTTATTATTACTAATAGTATTATTTTGATTATCGTTAGTTACTTGTTCTGTTGTGTCCATATGTGTATTGTTTACATCCACAGTGTTTGTTTCGGATTCATTTGACTTATCAGTAGTCAATTTGGCTTTTTCATTAGGTACATCAAGTTTTTCCAATGTAATAGAAGCCTTTACCTCCTCTTCAACATTTTTCTGTTCACTTTTTGTTTGATTAGATTCCGTGATGAATGAACTATTTGGACTAACGTCATTAGGATTATTTAAATGCCAATCACCATTTCCATCCAACTGAACAAATTCAACATCAACACTACGGGGATTCTTCAAAATACTCATAAAAAATCTAGTATGGAAAGGAAAACGAAATTACAAAGAAAAATATTTTTTTAAATCAACAATATGTACACTCCAATTTACTCTTTATAAGAATAAATATTAAGTAATTAGTGCTTCAAGGAATATAAATTTAATGATATATGAATAGTGAAAAGTGATGTTATTAAATTCTATCAATTAGTCGTAAGCAACGTAGAACCTGCCATATATATCCATTAGATCAAGTTGTCACACCATATCGGCACAGTATGATGAAAGTATCGAAGTAAATTCTCGAGCGGTAGTAAAACAGATTACGTATATTCGAGAATGATTTCAGGGGATAAAATAATTGTAGGATAATTTAAAAGTGAAAACCAAAGAGAATGATCCCAAGCCACATCACTCAACGTTTCCAGCTATTGGTTACGATAGTCGTGACACCAATCAGGTGAGTTGAATCTGACAACAAAGTTCAGTTCAACAGTCAGCGGATTTTACGGATTGATGCCACAACTTAGTTTGTTCAACATTATAGATTTCTTTCAATCTACAACGATAGACATAAAAGCACTAAAAAATTCCACTTACTCATCTACTCTCAAGTCACGAAATGGTGCAGAGATACTACAAATAGGGCAAGACCAACGAGGTCTTCGCATGTTGATTGTTAAATATGAATGTAAATCAAAACATTGAAGATGTGAACAATTGAACGATCGTACAGGAAGCTAGAATAAAAATATGAGAAGATTAAATAATTTCAACAAATAACATTTTTTTATATATGCTTAAATAATTTAAAGTGATAGTTGATATGATTATTATATTAGACAATTAACGGTTGTATGAAATACGCTTTTTATGTTGGCATATAATTTTTTTTAGTTTCGAATACTGTTTTATTAAAACATCTTGATGAAAAGTTATTCGAATTGTATAATCAAACCATCGGGAGTGATAACTTAGTTGTTAAAACAATTGGTTTTCAATTCGGGCAACTCCAAAGAATCACATGAAATGTTTGACTCAGATGAATTACATTACAATTGTAGTTGTTAGGTCGACTTACAATAAACTCTATCAGAGCCTCCAGAGAGGCTCATAAAGAGCCCAACCAATCAGCGATTAGTTAGAAGCTATGCTACTAAAATAATGAGGTCCTGATTGGCTGTTAAACAAATTGCTACTATGGAATCTCAAGGTCTTTTTAATTACTATAAAACCCCTGTTTTTTCTGTACATGAATGAACCTTGTAGTAAAGTGATTCTCTGATACTCGTGTCTTTTCTCTGGTCTTTCAAGTCGCTGAGTAGTGCTAGCCTGAGGTTATCCGAATAGCTAGTATCCGAATAAAGCATTCAACCTACGAGACATAACAGTAGTATACACAGCAAACCATGTATAAAATTTTACTTAACAACACCCTTAGATGCGGGTAATAACAATGCCGCTAGAATACCTACAATTGACTAATGTTTTCCATTTAAAAAAATGGAACAGTGCCTTTTTGTATTAGTACGTTAAACGAGAGGGCTTATAGTATGTATAACCGAATGACACTGGAGCAAATTCAAATCTACGTACAATCCGACATTTGTGTAAAAACTGCGGACAGAATTCAGTAGTAGACAATTATTACAACACAGAAATAGTGAAAATAAAGTCTTAAATAACAAATTTAGAAAAGCAAACTAATCACAGGAAAGTAATAACAATGTTGGTATAAAGGGGGAGAAACTTACATCGATTCTTGTCCGAGTCAGTGGACACAATAAGCACACAGGGATGTAGTCTGCAAGTTCAACGTCACCATCTTCAATACATAAATCACTATCGTTAGACGATTTTTGAAGCCGAGATTTCAGTTCATGCTAGAGTGCAAAAATAACGGTATAATAAGAAATAACTTGTTTATTAATGGTTAGTTTTAATCTGAGTTGCGGGAATATATAACATTAACAGATGTCTTTCGCAAACCACAGATTACTATTAATTGTTAGAAGTGCTAAAAATTAGTCATTCTGTACTTGAAAATCTAGTTTGAAAATAATAATTCAAGATTACGAAATTAACCTAGCTATTTCATTCAAGTGAATGACCACTTTTTCTAACATGTTATTTCACTCATAGAAACCGAACTCAGATAACATAAACTTGTGTAATAATTGCTTACTTAAGTGTGGTACAAAAACACTCGTTTACATAATAAGATTGATTAATATTAGTGTTGGCGGGAAATAAACCGGATTAAGGCACGTTATGTGCATTATCGTGACAGCGCACGCTGATTGGCTAATTCTAAACCAATCAGCTCCAGCAGATTATTGAAGAAGCATCTAGAAGCTTCTTATGCACATACTATAAATGTAGGAACGTTTTTCTAACGATTGATTGCTGTTCACCTACCCTTGTTATTTTGAATACAATTTCGCTCCTGTTCAACGTGTTCTGATTATTGGGGTCTTATCGAGTGTCATTTTATAAGAATACTAAGCCATAGGAGTAGCTGGACCGTTTATTAGCAAAACAATTATAACAATTAGACTTCTCTACCATTTATTTGTTAGAGGTAAACGATGATGTTAAACAATATATAGACGTCGATAGTACTAGATTACCTGTGTCTTTGACACGTTGCTCAGATGGAGTACAACTACAAATTATGATAAAGGTTAGGTACAACGTTTAAAAAAGGAATATGATGAGACTATCAAACGAACTCATTTTTAGATAATATATATCAAGTCACCACTTGTTTGATGTTCAGTGTTGGTTAATGTAGTTTTTAAAATAAAACGTGGAAAACCTAAATTAAAACATAGAATTAGCCTTCGGAATTATAGTTTGGGCAGTATAAAGAACCAGTCTTTTAGGCTAGAATAAGTAGGATTTGATTTTGAAACTTTGATAGACTAGGGTTTACTTCGTAGAATGGTAGTTATTTGGATCATCCCTGATGTTATTAAGTCAGCAGATTAACTATGTTCACCAATAAATTTTACATCACACTGAATACTAGAAATCATAATAATATGATCATATATAATATATAATATATAATATATGACCATAATAATATAATCATAATGATATGAAAACGGAAATAAATTTAATTACATCTACCCTAATGATGAACAATTATCCAAAAGATTTTATTAAAAGAATAATTAAGAATGAAAGAAAAGACGACATTGTTAATACAAAAAGATTACAGAAAAAGGAATGGGTTAACACAGTGGTGATCCCATATCGGAAAGGAGTTTCGGAAGATATTCGAAGAATCTTAAATAATCAAAATATAAGAGTATTTTTTCGAACAAACAATACTCTAAAATCAAAATTAGTAAGAATTAAAGATCCAATATATAAAGAAGAACAACAAAATTGTGTCTGAAATCAAATGTAATGACTGTAATGCAACGTATGTAGGTGAAACATCAAGACAACTGAATGTGAGGGTGAAGGAACACAAACAATGCTTGAAACACATTCCTAAATCCTCAGATGATGTAAGGAAACTGGAGAACAAATCAGCGATAGCATTACACTCGATAGAATCGGGTCATACAATTGATTTCGTTCACACAAAAATCCTTCAAAAAGATTTCAAATCTTACAAGTAAAGACAAATAGCTGAAGCCCTATACATTTGGGCTAATCCAAACAATATTAATAGGAGAGATGGAATACAATTAGCAGTACCATGGCAGCTAATCATTAATAAGTAATAACCTGAACTCCTTAATGTTTTTATCTAGTTCGTATTATCTAAAATGACAACAATTACACTCAATGATTCTAATCTGTTGTCTTATCGGAATTTGTTAAACAATTCATTGGAACATTAAAAATGACACATACATACAGTCAAAATTGCGCTCTTCAAATCTCACCTTTTATATTTTTATTTTGTTTAATTATCTTCATGTTATACATGCTGTGACACAGATATGATTCATATCACATATATATTACAAATTGTAAGTTTTCTTATAAATTCACTGATAAGAGACAATATATGAATGTGAATGTAATTTTCTCCTATCACCTCTTACGTTTTTCTATACAATATGTTATATGAACACTCATCAATTCACATCACATACCTCTTAAACATACCTAGTTTAGACTTATTGTTAACGTTGATTGGATGACCTATTCAGTGTATAATGAACTCGGAGAACCATGTACCTATTTATATTCGATAATTTTGATGTTTGATTATAATTCCTTGAAAAAGCTTGGACCAGATTGCCAGGCGAAACATTGGATTTACTTCAAAATTCATTCGCTGAGATTTTACAAATATACTATTCCTATTTAGTGTCATAATAGGCTTTGTTTTGAACAATTTAAGGTTGAAAACTATCACTTCTGATGAATAACTTCTCTATTCATTTTTTGTTGGTTAATTAGAAACTTACTAGTTACTAATTATTAATATATATAACAGTTATCTGACTATATTAACCTATATTTTTTGTTGTTTGTTGTTGCTTTCATCACTTCAAAAGCATCAAAATACATCTGGACATTAAGATAAATAAAATGTTAAGATCGTTGTCATAACATTATGCATAGGAACTTTAAAAGAACTGACAACTAGCAATCTAGTTGGGACAAAAATCATTACCTTTGTATCATCAGCAGGAAGTGAGAATGTCGGTGGCAAACAATTGTCATAAGCTCCGAAAACCCCATGATCTTCTAAAGTTCCTGAACCATCTGCATTTACTGTTAATGATGGAAATTCGATAGGATCTAAGAAAGGTCCATTAATGAAATTTTTGTGGGCTTCTGGATTGTCTAAATTAAAAGTATTTCGAAGATCTGAAACTGAATAAGCCCGATCAAGTGTAACTTGAACTAGAGGCAACCCAATTAGATGACATAACAATGGAGAAACCAGTCCATCAGCAACCAAGTTTAAAAGTCCTACAGACTGATCTTCCAATGGTGCATGCAACCAGGTCAATTCAATATCGACGACTCTGTTTCTAACTGCAGAACCACACTTCAAGAGTACCTGATTAAAAAAATTATTGTTTAAGTAATAATTCTTGAAATCTATGTGGAACAAGCAACACCAATACGTAAATATACTTGGTTCATTTATTCTCTATCGGGAAATTTATTGTGATAAGTAAACAGTAAAAAGTCACTAATCGTTAAAATGTTTGTGAGATAAATAATACAACAATACACAGTTGGATATCTACAATAGATTCATTGGAATGTTTACTTCAGCTTGTCTAGAAATTAACTAAATTTAATGAAATGAACAAGGCTTCAGTGAAACCAAGTTAAAAACAGGAATTTGGTGAATATGTTTACCAAACCTGTTGAAAATTGCATACATCAATTTGGAAACCATTATGGAAGGCACATCATTTCTACAATGTTTTCATCATGTAATTCTTACATCGGTAGTTTATGGAAAATAATTCAGTCTGGAGATCATTTTCATCACCAATCAAATAAAAGCAACTGAAAAAACAAAACAAAGCACCAGGTAAAGGTTGAAAATCTGTTGAGGTAGTAAATTTTCATCGTCTGAGGTGTTTCGGATATGTATTACATGGGCCCGTACCTTGACGCACAGTTGTAAGATTTTTCTTGTATGCATCCCTTCATACATAAAATCCATGTGATGGCATTTATTTGTTTCTCTATATGTGTAACGCTTCTCTTATTATTCTCTATTCATGTATATTATTTCCAAAATTATTGATTTGTTTGAAGTGGCTACAGACTCCGGAATTGACCAATGCATATATGTATCGTAATCTACATTGCTTACGACTATTAGCTTGAATTGAAGGGACGTTCAAAACCGGGATATACTGGGAGGATTTTTCATCTTACATTTCCGTTCCCTAGCAGCGTTCCATTGTATTTCTAACAGAGATTGAATGTACGACTTTGTAACCTCAAAGCGAGTGCGTTATCTTGAAAACACTCAATTAGAAATACAAGGGTTTATATTTATAACTTCTATTAATCAACGATATAGTACAATCATTAGTTAATTCCACTGGTGATATCTATTTAACTAGAGAGGTATTTTAACCCCGGTTGAAACGATTTATTATTTGAACTTCGAGAATTCGTCATGAAGTTAGTCAATATTGAACATATCATAGTTTACTTAGACGGTTTGTGGATATTTCTTAATTCATTTCATCAAGCATTGTTGCATATATGAAACAAAAACGTTGACAGGTTTTATTTCATATGAATAAATTGTCAAAACAAGAGATGTGCTGAGGTTAACTAGATTAAATTGTTTACCAGGTGCTTGTGTACGAGCAACACTGTAAGTGTGAGGGCTAATGATACTATCCAGTTGCTCAAACAGAATTAGGTGTGGCGGGGTTCAGACCTGCAACTGAGGTTAAAGCATAATTAAACCGTACCACTATGACTAAGTTGAGAATGATTTATGTTCTGTTATGCGGTAACTAAATTATTGTTTATTAACTTTGACACTGAGTGAATAGAGAACACATAACTTTCAATCTATCGAAAACCTAGTTTATATGTGGAGATACGAATCAGTCATTGATAAACTAGATTTCCAAACACTGCCTTAAATACATCTCATCTATATAGGATTGTGTGATCAGACTACATCCTTATCTTACACAAAAAAATCTCTAGGTCTAAGGAGGCTAAAACTGGGGTCCAGTAGCGCAAGAAATCAAACATTAAACTGATTACTACCATATCATTCTTTCACATTTCCTGAAATATTTCCTATTTTTAGTCAAGTTTTGAGATAGTTTAAAAGATGATTAAAAAAGTAAATAGATTACACGGTATATCTAAGAATATAAAGAGAACTACTGAGATTTTCTATAAGCTTAGAATAAACTTAATTAGGCGATTTGGTGGATTGTATTAGATCACTATTATAACATTTGTCTTCCGGTTAAGTTATGTTTACAACTCCCAGTTTTTAAATCACGATTATATATAAAAAAAAATTAACCAGTTAAATGTATTGAGTAAATGCTTTGCCAAAATAAATGGAGTTAAAAAACATAACTAGATTAAAACGAGGCACATACTTTGTCTGTTATATCAATTGATAAACGTAGGCGCTTTCCAAGACGTTGGGCCTGACCACCATGAAAAATGGGGTCAGGTAGGGGTACGGGTCGACCGGAGACACGAATAGAAAGACAACGAGGTAATGCCTCTAAGACAAGGGCTCGCCGAGATGAAGCAACCGAGGATACATTGCTTGGAACATAGAAATCCGTCGTAGCCCAACCAAGCCTTAAAACTACTCTCCATTCTGAATGGTCACCAGTCCTTTAAAAAAAATATGACGGGAAATTGTAACTATGATCCTCCAAAGACTATAAGAAGTTTAAAGCTTTAATTAATACAGAGATGTGAAACAACAAATCGAATTAATAATTTCTCGACTGAACGAACAACTAGACTAGAAAGCAATTTTGGAGAAATTTATGTGAAATGTAACATTTATTCAGAGAAAAATCAAGAAATTCCACCAAAAGTCTAAGAGAGTGAACATTGAGGTAGAAATGAGATAACCCTAACGAATAAGGCCGAAATCAATAACATTCAGATCTTGGCATGTATTACGCATGCCTATTCACCGAAGCTTGACGCACGGTGTAAGAAATTCATGAACTCAACCAAATCAAGCTGTGACATCAATCCGTAAAGTCCATTCACTGTTAGACTGAACCATGTTGTCAGATGCAGGTCACCTGATTGGTGTTACATCTATCGTAACCAATAGGTGGAAACGTTGAGTGACGTGGTTTAGGATATTTCTAATTGGTACAGATGCACCCATTCAGCATTTTCCCTTAGATCTCCAGTTTTATTATTATTAATGGCTTTATTCAATATTATATTTTTGGTACAATATAGAGTTCTCAGCACAAGGTATTTCACTGAATTTATTTTTCTTATTTCTTCATCTATCCTGACGATAAATATTGAGTGATCACCAGTTAGATGTTAGCAGTTCAGGAATCGACATCTGAACAATGAACATCCTCCGCAATGTCACTGAATGTACGTTTTTGTATATTGTAGGACGAAGTATCGCAAACTTTTCCTGAACGCGTAGGTTACTTGTTGAGATGTGTTGATGTCAGCAACGCCATCATTATTATCCCATAATCACTCTATCCCTTGAATTCATTCTTTCTTCTCAAATGTCATTGTCTATATACACAATCTGTCGTACTACCACTGATACTATTACTAATATTATTCTACTAACACTCGAGAATTTGTTTTGATACTTTCATCATACCGTGATGATATTGTGTGACAAAGTGAGTCAACGGACATGTGCCAGGGCCTAATTTGTATATGACTGACTGAGCTATAAATACAAAATAACGGAAGGAGTGGTTTCCCGCTTTGCAAAATAAGACGGTAGCTGACATAAGGTAGTTGGAGACAGTTGGAAAAACTTGGACCTAGGTTTCCTACCAGTTGAGAATCATCCGTAATTCGGATCTGGTATCAGAGAGGATCCAGTACTCCAAATGGAATTCGGACCAAGTTCACCCGATTTCATAGCCTTAGAATATGCAAAATACCTGTTCAAGCTGCAACTGAGCTCCTGTAAGAATGAAATATGTACAATGGTTAGTGACTGAGTAGTAGTCCTAAGGACTAACCCGCCATTGGTTACTATCCGGTGGTCAAAGTCACAAAGGCAACCTGTTTCTGTCAGTCAGTCACAACGTAGAACTTCTTACGTACGTACATCAGTTCAAGTTGCCATACCACATTAGCACAGAGATGAAGTTGTCAATTCAAATCCCATTTTGGTAGAAGTAGTAAGAGTATAAGCATTATGTAAAAGATTAGGGTTTGAAGATGTTATTCAAGGAGCATAATCTAGTGAAATAAATTTGGAAAGAGAAAAAGGATAAAGACATGAGCTTAAGTTCCCAGTATTCGAGAGTTATCATAGTATACGAATGATTAAAAGTAATAACTTCTCGGTGGAGTCCGAAAATACCATGCACTCGAATATCAAAAAATCTCATCCGACCAAAAAAATATGTTGATTGTCACACGAGTTACTTATAAGTAGTGGAAAACAGAATACAAAAGTAAATAGACGACGCATGGGATTTGACGAGAACAAAAACAAGTGACATACATGATATATCGATCAGTAAAAATATTCATCTGAAAGGCGAAAACACCAGATACCTCATCCAAAAATCACTTACCACTAAAGAAAGCATAAACAACGTATCAGTGAAAGAGAAAGTCACCTATAGATATCATCTGAGTTAATGAAACAACACGTAGAAAAACTATGGAAGCATTGAGGAGGGAAATTCGCAGAATACTCAACAGACATTACTTTTACATTTATAAATTGAGAATATCTAGCCTCAGAAAGACCAACTATTACAGAACTTTAATTAAAATACCGCTTGCCTGAAGTGTTAATAAAAGAAAACATTGAAATCAAAATGTTCAAAAGTCGAACGATGACGAAAGTTCACAACTTGATGAAACTTATAGCTGAATAAGAAACCGATGAAGATGTCAAGATCTAGGCCCTCCAGAACTGCCCTAAATGAAAAACCTCTATCTAGAAAAGGATTAATTTAGACAGACTGTCCTTGGGCTGACCTGTCTAGTTTCGATCACAAGTGACCTACAAAGGCGACCAATCACGATGGGAGTTGAAAAGTCGATCGATTAACTTATGTACTGACACGCTCACAGTGAGACTTGCAGTCTGAATTAGTGGACCACTTGCTTAATTTAATTCATGTCCGCCTATCTAAAATGTGAATACATAATTTAGTGTGACAAACATACTGGAGAAAAATCTAATCAATATTTTAGTACACAGACAAATCAACGAAAATAACACGAAATATGAGAACTTGTGTTTGGCTTAAGGTAATATTACCTTGCAAATAAACGATAAAAACTACATCTGTGTTTTATATCAATGCTTGCATGGGAAACCAGTCCTCTCATACAGTTTGAGCTTAAGATGGCAATTAGGAATATCTTTCCATGAAATTATATGTTTTTTGTTTAGACCATGTGGCACCCGTTACCATCTAAATATGACTTCGTAAAACAATTACTATGACACCAACTTCAAAATTACTCAGTTTTACATTGGAACGTATACCATAAATTTTCAGTGGCATGCCAACACACACTTGGACAATGTATTAAAAAAGAATCCCTTCATTTATATTTTTCATTTCAGCGCGTTGTTTTATAAAAAGCCTGAATATTATGGTAATGAGACAGTGAGTCAAATGCGATGGATTTCAAGAAAAGATGAAAATCAAAACTGTCGCAAACCACTGTCGGTTAAGATGTATGGAGATAATAAGAAAACAAGATTATGGAATTGTTGTTATCATTATTATTATTGCTGCTATTATTATTACTGGGTTTATTCAATATTATGTGTTTAGTACGATGTGGAATTATTAACACACAGTATTTTAACGAGTTTTAACGAGTCTCTAATTGGCATATGTGCATACTGTGCGTATTGCCTCAATATAGCCTTAATTCACAAGCATGGTAAGCAAAGATGGATAGTGGCTAGCAGTGGAATCCAGGACGCGCGTTTCGCCGAGTGGATAACGCGATGTCGTTTGAAGCGAAACGTACTGGGTTCGAATCCCAGAGTGAACATCAACTCTGAGATGCAGGTACATCCAGTTGACGAGTCCCAAATAGGACGAAACGCGCGTCCTGGATTCCACTGCTAGCCACTATCCATCTTTGCTTATACACTAAGTTAGTAAACTACCTGGAATTAAATGAAATGTTTTGAATACAATAAGAATCTGTAGAGTTTTTAATTAAAAACATTTAAGAATACAAGTTATTGACTTGGTCAGCTCTAACAACCTGCTAGTCAAAATATATTTGTTAGATAAGGTACTAAAAAGCTTTTATACCTTTACTTATGTGCATGGAATTTAATGTCGGAGCCTCGTTCTGCGAGAAGATAGAAATGAAGTGGATAGTTAGTATCTGATAAGATAATACCTTCCAAAAGTTTGCAAGATTTTAAAAACCTATCCACAACCACATTATTGATGACCTCAAAAGATTCATCACACAACCTGCTAACTGCGTTCATCATTCTGCAACACAGCAAAATATTTTTTGAGAAGCCCGGGAAAGAATGACAGTTAATATGCAATAATTTACAAATTGTAAAAGTAATGAAGAAAGTATGTAGTCTCTTTATATAATAAGTTAAGCGGAAAACTCTTCACTATCACCAAAACATGATAAGACCGATAGAGATTGAAGGGAAAACCTTCACAAAAACAAATAACTTTTGACACTATTTATTTCAAAATCTACAACAGTATAAACTTTATGGGAATCCAACAAGGTGTTTAAGGGCTGTTCATGTCTCAGACTAAAATTAAGAGTTTGCCATTTTATTTATTTATTTAAACACAAACATTGGTACAAGAAAGCACCAAATAGATATATGCGCCATATAAATCCTTCGATGTGCGAGGGCTGAAATACTGCCTGGACGTCCAATCAGAAGCAGGTGGTTTTCTGAGGGGGCCACACCTCGAGCCTTTGACCTAAAAATTCTGACCCACAAGGTAGTGCAGCACCGTAAGGAGATGCAGTCCCATGGTAGCCGGTGACCAACAATAAGTTCATACGCCATTTGTTCCCTCAGGGTACTGGAGCCCATGTACACCATTGGATTGGAATCATGATTTTCCAACTCCCCTAGGTGAACTCACCGTGTCCACCGGCCCGGTGCAAGCGCCGGACATTTGCTTTTTGTCCTCTTGATTTCGTACATGACACCTCCACCATGAGAAGGCAGTGAGTAGGACTTCCTTGGCAGAGGCTGTATACACTCTGTTATGTGAAGGCATTTCGAGAGGGGGCGGGCCCTCCGCACTTTCAGCCGTACCAGGGAATTCAGGGAAGTTTGCGACTCAGAAAGATTACGTGTGAAACTATTAACAACCAACGATCGTTTAATGAGACGAAAACTCATTCATTTTAAATGGACATAAACAGGTAGATATCGGTGTACATGTAATGAGATCGTCCGCATACTGAACAAAAGAATTTTCTGTGAAAGATGACAGATCATTTAGAAAAAAAGGAGGAAGAGACAGAACAGCTCATTGTGACATACCTTCATGAGTAAGCAGAGACGTAGAACACTTCCTTCCAAGGACAGTGTACTGTTCTCTTCTTGAGAGGTAAGAACCATCCAGATGGTTATCCGGTTGCAGGTTTTAATGACAGCAAACTTGTTTTGTAGTAGCGGTCTTGGAATAAAGTCAAAGGCGGAAGTATAATCTACAAATGAGCATCGAACATACTTCCTTTTCTTTTCCAAGATGAACACTGTTATGATGTAGAATAATAGAAGCATCTAAGATACTTCTGTATTTGTAAGCAAACTGATATGGATCAATATGCTCCTTTAATGCAGGTTGAAGTGGAAGTAGTAATAGTTTTCCGATTGTTTTTAGAAAAGGGGAAGTTATCGCTATGGGTGTAAGTTTCACATTCTTATCACAATATACTTTTCTGCACTTTTTCAGTATGAAATTATTTGTCATTCAGTCACAACGTAGAACTTAGTACGTACGTACATCAGTTCGAGTTGCTATGAAATTAGCTGGGAAGAATTTGTTAAAGATGCCCGTGAATGGATGGCACAGTGTCAGCACACTTCTTAAAAAGGAGGTTTGGGATTTCGTCAGGTCCCAAATATTAGGACGAGTCGATTGACTGGAGACACTATCGGGCATCAGTTTCAATGAATATCGAAACACACAACTATTCTTCAAACTTGTGGATACAGGAAGCATGGCATAAGATGACTGACGTACAAAAGACTTAAGTCACAAACATTCAGCTGGTTATCTTCACTAATGCATCTCCCACATGTAAGCTCTTTAAATAGTTCCCACACATTTGAAGAGCTTTTACAAGATATGATTTACTGGGTAAGCATCGGATTCGGATGGGTAGGTATTATTACCGAGGCCTGACTTGATAATTTCGCGTAAATTGAGCATTGAGTAGATTTTTATTAATAAAATACTATGTATGTAATATCGCGATGAGTAGAAAAATTAAGCTTTTGAATTTTCTGACATGTCGTGTCTCAGTGTAAGCCATTTCTACTGAAATGGTTCTAGTTGTATGGGAATTGTTCGAGTGGACGGTTTTATTACATGGATTTCGTTTGCATTATACAGATGATTATTGGGACAAAGTTTGGTACGTGGTTATGAAACTAAAAAAATAAGTTTTAAAAAAGCATATTTTTCGTGCACATTGCAGAAACAGAACTTAATAAGGCTGATCAGAACGAAATATTCAAATAGACTCAACATATGCTTTGGTGATTGATGAAAATAAGTATCTTGTCTGTAACTCCGACACTTTCATTTTCTTTAAAATTAGACAGGGTTGTGAAATACATAATGTTCAATTTTTTACCCACTATAAAACGTATTTACCATCACCATTTCAAAAACAGTTTGTCTACATATTTTTTCTAGATTTCCTCTACTTATTTGTAGATTTAAATTAATTTCCAATTTAATTTTACGAAAGTCTTTTTAAAGATAAAATGCACGGCTATCAGCCTTTTCGTTGAGATCTCACTATGCAGTGTCATGAAAACCTGCATCTAATCTATCATTATTCAAGGATTTATCTGATTAGTCCAACAACTCAATGAGCTTCAACCTTATTTGTTGACACTTTTATTATAGCAGTACATATAAACTTACTTAGGACGCAGTAGTTTGACAACTTGACGCTCCAATTCTAACGTAAATACGTAGGTCATGTAGTCTGTTGTGAAACCTACAGAAGCTGCGGAAGGTGGAAATTGTGGAGCGAAACCTGGATACTTTGTTACTTTAGCATCAGCCATTTCACGCAGAGAACGGACCATATTATCAGTATCTGGTATATTTGGATTGACATTTCCAGGAGCAGTAAACTGAACACGGCGTAGTAGTACTACAGGTCGTAAAAAAGGAGATTCAGAATAAATGCCTAAAAGACCAGGAGGAGAAATAATCCAGTTCATTTCATGCAATGCATCTGAATCGGCTTTGCATCGAGGCCAAACAGAAATCCGCTCCTTTCTGAACGACCGTGTACACGCTAAATACAAAGGAAAGGAAATGTTATTATATAAATTAGTCATACAGCTTAAATGATAAGCACAAATTAGACAGTTACGTGTAAACAATGTTTTGCGAATTCGATATACATTCCAAACATTAGCAAGTATTATATAACAAATTTAGTTTGATCACTAGACACCACTAACTTAGGCTGTAGCACCTCCGGGGGCTACTGCCGATCCCAAGCCCGGATAAAGGAGGAGGGTTGGGCATAGGGGTAGCGATCCCATCCCGTAGAAAACTAACTCGCCAAAAAAAACGGCAACCAGAAAAAATTATTCAGACCATTTAAACTCTGCTCTGGGAGTTGAAGGAATAATAATTATTATTTATTTAAACACATAAATATTGGTACAAGGAAGCACCAGATACATATGCGCCATACAAATCTCATTTGATTTGCTTGAGGACTGTGATACTGCCCAAGTGCCCGAACTGAAGCAGGTGGTTTTCTTAGGGGTCCACAACCCGAGCCTTTGACCGAAAGATCTGATCCACAAGGCAGTGGAGCATCGTGAGGAGATGCAGTCCCATGGTAGCCGGTGATCAACGATAGTTTCGTACGCCATTTGTTCCCTCAGGATACTGGAGCCCATGTGCACCAGTGGTTTGGAATCAGGGTTTTCCAACTCCTCTAGGTGGACTCGCCTTGTCCACCAACCCGGTTAAAGCGCCAGAAGGAATAATTATGACGCCCCGTGATGAAAGCTGAGTTCCTTCGGAAGTTATGAGGCCGATGCGCCTTCTAACAACCAGAACAACAATTTTTATAGGTACATGGAACGTCCGGACAATGTGAGAGACCGGAAGAGTCTCCCAAATTGCTGCAGAAATGAGGAAATCCAACCCGGGGTGCTTGGGATCAGTGAAACACATTGGACGCAGGTTGGACAACAACGACTATCTTCAGAAGAGGGTTCTGTTATATTAAGGCTATGAAGAAGAAAATGCCCCACATACACAAGGAGTTGCATTGATGCTGTTCAAACAAGTACAACATGCACTAATAGAATGGGAATCTCAAGGACCAAAGATCATCAAAGCCTCCTTCAAAACAGAGTAAGAGGATATTACAATGAACGTCATACAATGCTATGCGCCTAACGACGACTACAACGAAGACGTTAACGATCAATTCTACGATAGGCTGCAGTCGATCGTCGAGAAGTGTCCAACAAAGGACCTGAACATTCTGATGGGAGATTTCAATGCCAAGGTTGGAATGGACAACACTGGATACGAAGACGTCATGGGACAACATGGACTGTGAGAAAGCAACAAAAATGGTGAGAGATTTGCAAACCTATGTGCCTTCAATAAACTGGTCATAGGTGGCACTATATTCCCACACAAACGCATTCACAAAACCACATGGACTTCACCGGATCACACTAGGCAGAACCAAATCTACAATATCTGCATCAACAAAAAGTTCAGGAGGACGATGGAGGAAGTGAGAACCGGGAGAGAAGCTGATATAGCATCAGATAATCATTTGCTGATCGCCGAGATGAAATTAAAACTTCAGAAGCACTAGATAACGGGGTGGACAACATCACAAAAGTTTAATATGGCTTTTCTTCGGGATACTGACAAACAACAAATTCAAGATAGCCTTCAGCAATAGGTTCCAGGCCTTTCATGATCTACTCAATGGAGAGGGAACTACCATGCAGAGCAACTGGAAAGGGATAAAAGAGGCAATCACTTCAAAATGTCATGAGATTCTGGGCCACAAGAAGCACCATCACAAGGAATGGATCACTGTTGGTACACTGGATAAGATTGAAGGAAGGAGGAACAAAAAGGCAGCAATCAATACCAGCCGAACAAGAGCAGGAAAAGCCAAGGCACAAGCCGAATACACAGATGCAATGAACAAGTGAAGAGGAGCATCAGAGCGGAAAAACGTAAATATGTGGAAGATTTAACAATGACAGTGGAAAAGGCTGCAAGAGAAGGAACCGTGAGACAAATGTATGATACAACAAAGAAACTTGCTGGAAATTACCGTAAACCAGAACCAGTGAAAAGCAAGGAAGGCAAGGTAATCGTCAACATTAAAGAACATCGAAAAAGGTGGGTAGAACACTTTAATGAACTCTTGAATCGACCAGCTCCACTGAACCCACATAACACACGGACCTCCCAATCGATGTCGGCCCACCAACAATTGAAGAGATCAGCATAGCCATTAGACAAATCAAGAGTGGCAAAGCAGCGGGACCAGACAACATCCCGGCAGAGGCATTGAAGGCAAACGTAGCAGCAACTGCCAAGATACTCCACATCCTATTCAGTAAGATTTTTGATGAAGAACAAGTACCAACAGACTGGAAAGAAGGACTTCTGATCAAGATACCAAAGTAAGGCGATCTGAGCAAGTGTGATAACTACAGGGGCATCACTATTCTCTCAATATCACGAAAAGTCTTCAACAGAGTATTGTTAAACGGAATAAAGGACTCCGTAGACGCCCAATTTCGAGATCAACAGGCTGGATTCCGTAAGGATCGATCGTGTACAGACCAAATCGCAACTCTATGGATCATTGTGGAACAATCAATTGAATGGAATTCATCACTCTACATCAACTTCATCGACTACGAGAAGGCATTTGATAGCGTAGATAGCACAACACTATGGAGGCTTCTTCGACACTACGTGATGCCTGAGAAGATAGTCAATATCATGCGGAATTCCTAAGATGGAATAAACTGCAGAATCAAGCATGGAGGACAGCTCACTGACTCATTCGAGGTAAAGACTGGTGTCAGGCAAGGTTACTTACTTCCACTTTTTCTCTTTCTCCTGGTAATCGACTGGATTGTGAAGACGTCAACGACTGGAGGGACGCACGAGATATAATGGACAGCTAGGATGCAGCTGGACGATTTAGACTTCGCAGATGATCTGGCTCTTCTATCACACATGCAACAACAAATGCAGAAGACGGCCAGTTTAGCAGCAGCCTCAGCAGCAGTAGGTCTCAATATACACAAAGGGAAAAGCAAGATTCTTTGGTAAAACAAAGCATGCACCGATCGAATCTCACTTGAAGGAGAAGCTTTTGAGGATGTAGAAACCTTTACATATCTGGGCAGCATCATCGATGAACACAGTAGATCTGATGCAGATGTGAAGACGCGGATCGGCAAAGCAAGAGCAGCATATTACAACTGAAGAACATCTGGAACTCAAAACAATTGTCAACCAACACCAAAATCAGAATTTTTAATACAAATGTCAGGACAGTTCTGCTGTATGAAGCGGAAACCTGGAGGACTACGAAAGCCATCATCCAGAAGTTACAGGTGTTTATTAACAGTTGTCTACACAAGATACTTCGGATCCGTTGGACAGAAACTATCAGCAACAAGCTACTGTGGGAGACAACAAACCAGATTTCAGCGGAGAAAATGAGGAAGAAGCGCTGGAAGTGGATAGAACACACATTGAGGAAATCACCCAACTGTGTCACAAGACAAGCCCTCACATGAAATCCTGAAGGCCAAAGGAGAAGAGGAAGACCAAAGAACATATTACGCCGAGAAATGGAGACAAACATGAGAATGAGCAAAAACTGGATAGAACTAGAAAGGAAGGCTCAGGACAGAATGGGTTGGAGAATGCTGGTCGGCGGACTATGCTCCATTGGGAGTAACAGGCGTAAGTAAGTAAGTACTACACACTACTGCTATTTCTAGTTTCTGTGAAATACAAATAAGATGAAACCAGAACTTGGCAAAAACCCAAAGTAAAATAATACCACGGACGTCAATGGTAATCATTCTAACTAACACTAAACGCATTAAGGAAAACGATAAATTCACATCAAAGAGAGCTGTTTTAATCAAATAAAAAAGAAACTAAGTCACACTACTTTATTCAGCAATTGTATCGATATGAAGCCTAAGAAATACGCCTAAGTCGAGTTCGAATTTGTTGGCGAGTGACTGATCTATAAGTTCCTTATCTCCCAATCGCCTAGGAAATCTAATTATGTTTATTTTGTAATTAATGTATTATACATGAACATAATATTATGCCAAAAGAAAACTTATTCTGCTAGATAGTTGACTTGTTTTTTTAGTGTGACTTACGGCAATAGTTTGAACTTGTAAACAGTTATTACTCGGTTAAACCGCATAATCGAGTCTCCTCTGTCGATCAGAATTAGATTCCTTTACTTTAACAAGCCAAAGGCCATTTGCTATTATAAAATACTCGAAATCCTTCCATGACATATACCTTCAACGACGGAGTTTTAAACATGAAACAGTGATATTACCATATGCATGTAAAAGAAATAAATTTTATCCGTACTGAATTTTAATACACATGCAAGGTATAAAATGAATTTGTGATCTACGATCGCAGGGAACCAGTGATTTCACTAAATGTCATTAAGCGAATAGCTGAACTGCTTTCGAACTTGCAGTAAGCGCAGTAGAATTATCAAATATTTTGTCTACAAGAGAGGGCTAAAATGAAGTTCTATGATAAGTTCGAGTAAAAAGCATTCTAGAAAAGAAGTCGAACATTACAAACCTTCCGCCCATCGAAGAAAAGCCGTAGCACCCAATTTTTGCGTTCGATTGATTGAGTCAGAAACTGGAACAAGATTACTTGACACAAATAATGATTCCACGGATGGATTGGCTGTACGACTGGTAGTCAGTGAATTACAAGTTGTAGTGGCCGTGGTTGTACATGTCGATGTGGAACTAACACTGTTACGTGTGGTATAGTTTGTTGACCTCAACGCAACTGAGTTTACTGTGCCATGAGTGGATCCAGACGAAATAATTCCAGGCGCAGTGATGCGTATATTCGGCTGATAAGATAGTTGCGTAGGTCGAAAACCAGTGAACAGATTTCCATTCGGTCCTGCCACTGTATTAACATAACCTGAGACATTTGGGGGAGAAATGGTAACTTGAGATGGATTTGTTCCGCGTAAAAGTGTTTGAAAAATACTGTTAAATGCTGGGTAATTTGCGAAAGTGTTGGCATTTGACTGAGCAATGTTACTTGTAGTGGCTAAAGAAAAATTTGACGTTGAATTACTGACTAGAAAAGCAATTTTAATAAACTAGATTTATTTTACCGGTAGGTTTCTGTAGGACATTACTGCCTCTGGATTGTGTACTTGATGGATAGGTATTAAATACATTTCTAGGAACGGAAACTAAGGGTGATGCTTGTGATATGACCGTTATCGGGAGGGAGTAGTCAGAACGGCATAACTCAAAAGGTAAGCCAGATCTGATATTACCATTCGGTAGATTAGGAGTGCTCATTTTCAAACTATAAAAAGGTAAGATTTGAAATAAATAAACAGAAATTAAAAGAATGGTGAGACAATAACTATGCAGAAAGATTTACCCAAAAGATTGCGACATATATATATATATATAATTAAAATTCCCCGATACAATGGGTGACTACTGTCAGTGATTCAGTCTGTTCTTTATTTTTGATCGTCCCCGTCCATAAGTGAGGAAAATACTCTTTTTGTGATAGCCAAAGAGGTATCAGTTTGTTTAGAACTTCATTCTTTACAATCATTTGACACGTAAGTGGATTTCGGGAATAGAAAGCTGAAGAAAACCAATCAGGTCTCAGGTCTACTCGTGTATGTGTTGACCAAATATCTACCTTTAAGCAGTTTATGTAACAGTAATGGCATTTGTCACAAGGATGTACAATGTAGGAATGTAGGAATGCAGGAATTTTCAAATCTTTAATCCAGTATTAATTATGTCAGCCAACGATGAACTCTCGTCTAAATTGGCAAACTCGGATAGTTTTAGAAGGGACTAATTACCTTTATTTAATTCTCACTTAGTTTCGTTAGATGTATGCTTCTAGAAATAACACTTTTGGTAACCTCTTAGACACTCACCAACTTAGAAACTCACTCTCTAACTAACCGTTTTTTAGAAAAGATAAATATTTAGTGAAGAGACGTACAAAATGCAGTCTTTTATGTGAGAAATATTGTTTTGGGACTTGTCTGAGTCAATGCCCAGTTTGATCATGTGTTAAAAGTAGTTGTACTGACAACTACACTTATATTAGATGTATCATCAGTCCCAGTGGGTTGTTAGTCGATGAAATCATAGCACTGATCCAAAAAAATGTTTGTCCCTCGCTGGCTTATGCCGTCTGAGGTGAAGCAGGACATTCGTCATCAAGGGTAAGTATATTATATAGTTCACTGTCTAACTTTGTGGTAGTAACCCTTTACAGGTATAGGATATAGGTTGGTTATTATTTGACCATAGATATTTTTGTAGCATTGGTGCTGGATGGTGGAACAATAGAGTGAGTAATATTAAAATTGGGTGCAAGACGCTAGGTGACGATAACAAGGTGGTCAATAAAGTCACTAATCTACATTTACTGGAATAACTGGGATACATGTTACGTATCCTCACCGGCCACTTAGCTCGACACTTAATGCTGCCTGGAGCAGAAGTAGGTTGAAAAGAAACGAAGGGTGGACAAATCGAAATGTGCCATTAACCAGTGATTATTGAACTGAGAAGTGTTGGTAGATGCAGGCTCTGCATGTGATCTACTTGATAATTGTGACTATAGGTTGGAGACCTTGTGTGGTATGGCTGAAGATTATTCACAGTGATGCAGACTGATTGTTTTACTTCCCTATAGGTCTTCGATTTCACTATTGGTTCATGTTTTTTTTGCTTCCTGATCATATCCTCTCTTTTCCAAGCATATTACATGTATTTATTTCTAACTACTATAGATACTACCATTACTTCGACTCCAATGTTATGTATTACTCGAGCTAAGATAATGTGAAGTAGCAGCTTTGAACCACACACATTTTGTCTGATCTTGCTACTGAGAGCTACGGATACTATCTGGCTATTTTATCTAAGAAAAAAGAGATAGCAGGGTCCCGGCCAGAAAATCGAGATGTTGAGCTATTTTTACATAATTTTAGGGTCTAATCCTAACCCTACCCCCGAATTGTTTAACGTTAGACGAAGACGCACAACCTGGGGAGCCAATTCTGTTTCGATACTTATTTTATTTGTGAAAAGGCAGATCAGTTAGAGATATAAGCCCCCAGACGCCCTAGTACGGCTTAAAGTGCGGAGGGCCCGCCCCCTCTCGAAATGCCTTCACATAACAGAGTGTATACAGCCTCTGCCAAGGAAGTCCTACTCACTGCCTTCTCATGGTGGAGGTGTCATGTACGAAATCAAGAGGACAAAAAGCAAATGTCCGGCGCTTGCACCGGGCCGGTGGACACGGTGAGTTCACCTAGGGGAGTTGGAAAATCATGATTCCAATCCAATGGTGTACATGGGCTCCAGTACCCTGAGGGAACAAATGGCGTATGAACTTATTGTTGGTCACCGGCTACCATGGGACTGCATCTCCTTACGGTGCTGCACTACCTTGTGGGTCAGAATTTTTAGGTCAAAGGCTCGAGGTGTGGCCCCCTCAGAAAACCACCTGCTTCTGATTAGGCGTCCGGCAGTATCATAGCCCTCACACATTTAAAATGAAATGACAATATGTGGCGCACATATTTCTGATACTCCCTTGTACCAATATTTATGTGTTCAAATAAGTGAAAAAATAGAGAGATAAATTATTTGTGAAACACTGCTAAATGGTGGCCATGATTACAAGTTTTCAAAACGACAGAATATACCTAAGGTAAGCTGGAAATATAAACACAAAATAGTAGTCACATCCACAAAATATGTGATTTAGACAAATGAGTTATATAATAGAGGATCACTAAAAGACTCAATATATTTATAAACAAGTGGTAATACAATGAATTAGAAATGATCCTGACAGAAAATGATTTATGTAAAAAGAATATTATTAACGCATACAAATATCTGACCAAATAGGATGTAGAGATAAGAGGAAATTGATGAAGTCTACATAATGTTTAGGAATGTACATTTACTTTCCACTTTGAGTGACGTTTTGGTTAGGCAAGACGGGTTGAAAGCTGAGCACTGAAGCTACTGGTTGTAACGGTCGCTGGTAGTGCAGAACGAGGTAGGAGTTGAATCATAATGCAGAGAGCCTATTAGTACACTTTCCATCACTTCTGAAAAACCGAGGTGTAATGCTTTTTGGCTTATACGAGAGCAACTTTAAGTTTATCAACTAAAAATTTCAATCTTCTCCTTTCTGCTGAGCTATTTATCGACCCACTTTAGGACTTTAAAGTCTTTCAAACGAGCAGTGCAATGAACGTTTTACAGTGTCACCATGAACAAAAAACGGCAAATGCTACAGTTTACTGGTCTGTTTTTTGATATAAGCTTCATGTGTTACTACAGGTTTTTAATTTTTCTTCAGAAAGACGTGATACCAGCACATTTAACTCGTATAGGGGTAACAAGCCAAACTGTAACCATAGACAAGTTGCGCAAGTGTACGATTTAAACCCTTAACGATTGAGCGAGTCCTGAGTAAAAACCAGAAGTATGTATTCATTTCACCAGGATACCCTAGACTGAGCTACCAGCGCTTTTTAGTTCTCACTGGAACCTCTCCACAAGTCCGTTAACCGTCGGATGGCATACTGTGTAATGCGGACCCATAACTTGAGTGAGTTCATTCAGCAAACTATATTGGGATTGGGAACCACTGTTTTAAGTGACTGCTAATGGTACGCTAAGGTTTGAAACCTATCTGTTGAAGAAAACAATCTCGGGAGAGATATCGTCCATAAAAAGAGCAGTTGATTATACAGTAAAACAAACCACTGAAGTAATGATTTACTTGAAACTGTTAGATGAATTAAATGGACTCACCAAGGTGGTGTGCACGACATACCAACTTCCGCTAGTCCGGTGGTTGTATGTAAATCTTACTACGCTGGAAAAGCAAGGAATCCTGAAAACACTGCTATATATCAGTATTCATCTTACGCTAAACAAATTCCTGAGATCAATTCAGTGGTAGCGCGAATCCCAGGATGAGATATGTGATGCTCAAAAACTTTCTTCCGAAAGGCTGTCAATACAAAAAGTCAGTTTGTTCAAGTAGATGTGTCGCATACAGCTGTAGGACCTCAAAATGATAGTGAAGTACTCTTCAAAGCTAAACTAATTTTTCCTACACCTCTGGGTTGTAGCTTGCTTATAGTGATAGCTTAACACTTACAGGACAACGTGTAGCCTCTACGAGGAACTAGACGTGCTAATATAGCGTTTTCTTGTCTAACAGCCAGATGTGAACAATTTGACACCTAAAGACACGGTACCTAGCTAAGATTACACTTCTACATAAGAACAGTAACTACAAGCTACATAATCACATTTTTGAGGTCTGAGGTGTTACATTATATGCTTATTAGTAGAAACATATATTGGACCAACTTATGTGCTCTTCAGAAACAAATTGAGAGATTTAATGCTTACGGAAACTATTGAATTCGCAAGGAAATTGTGCAAATAACTTGCTAACTTCCAGCTCCTCTAATATTGTCTTGAATCACATGGTATGACTTATTTAAAACAAAATTAACAGACAAATAGTAATGAGTGAAAGCTAAACTGTTTAACTACGGATAGTATACCCATGCAGTGTTTAACGTTAGTACATGAATGATTGACCGATATCCACTAAAACGATATAACAATCCGCAAATTTAGCAACGAAAAAGCTAAACACGAAATACCATAAAGGAACTCTGCAAGGACTCACAGAACCAGCTAATCGAATCCCTTCCCGCCAGGAGGGTGGCATTGAAATATGCTTCAGACATAGGTACAATATCCAATAACATTCAGATGAGCTTGCACAAATCGACCGATTTCTTTGCGTTCACTTTCTGAAGTCACCCCACAGTTCTCGTTGTAAAATATAGTTCAATGTGGGTATTTTAGCAATTTTTCCACATTTACTCTAGAGAAGCTGATGTGTGGTTGGACGCTAAAATACTGTATGAATGAATACGTCTGTTTTAGAGAAATAGGAGTGCTATAAGCAAAAGTTATCTTATCGTGTCGCGCAGCCAGCTCAGCTAGATCCTAGGAACTTTGATAGACTGTTGAATAATTCGAACTGATATTTAGTTTCGGATGTGCAACAAAACCAGTAGGATTTATGCCCTCTCTGAATAATAATCTGAATAATAATCGAACTGGTATTTAGTTTTGGATGTGCGACAAAACCAGTAGGATTTATGCCCTCTGTAAATAATAATCATGTCAGATGTGCTGAACAAAGTTATCTAGTTTCGAAAAGAGTCTTAAGGGCTGCCAATTGTTGATTCAATAGATGATAGCTTTGTGAAAGATACGACCAAGAGTTATGCATTTATGAAGTAGCCTATGTCTTAGATTTCACCCGTCTACTAAAACGGGCAGTCATCGGCGTCTACATGGGATACAGATTGACTAAAATCATGACTATATTGCTCCTATGTTTCTCCGTAAAAAACTTCTCCAAGCAAATATTTCAGAAGCAATCGATTTCTGTATTGAGACTACTAGTTCTGACAAGTACCCTAGCTTAAGTCAGTTAGCCAAGCGTCATAGACATATCTCTAGGCATTCGATGTGGGACACTTTTCCCATTATCTAGGCAGATGGCTCAGAAGTCGAGCGTTCACCAGATTCTGTCTGCAATTACATATCTTCTGTCCTCCGATCACTGCCGTCGCCTTCCTTGTTTGCCTTCAGTAAGCATCCTATGATTTTGCCATCTCAAGACTTCTGCACTCATTCAGATTGCTTTAACATTAAATAGTCAGACTATTTTATCCACAGTTAAATTTGTTTCCATTATCCCGGAGCTGCAGTCCCGAAATACATTGCTTAACAACCATCGTAGCACCGGTCAAAACAACTATACTACTGTCACCATTTCGGCTACTGTATTATCACACTTACGGAGTGCGTTTTTATGTGAACATAGTCTACCTTGCAGGCCCTTCTTTAGGCAATCTTAGAGAAGAAACATATTAAAGTTCTGTTCTTGATGAGGTTTAAATTGCGCCTAATCATACCTCTGAGACTGTGCTACAGTGGAATTGTCCGAAAATAATTTGTGCTACATTTAATGAGTAAGGCTATAAATTTTGCGTACAGTAGATCTTAGATAGGTCTTGTGAATCTTAGTGGCATTTAAGGAGTTCTGAGTATATATTTTGTCCAACATATCTTAAGCGAACTGTTTCAATGATGGTGTGATTCAAAAGTTCGCGAACCAAGTATAACTGACTTAGCCGTAGTTTGGATGACTGGACAGAGTGTATTGAGACCAGAAGAAATAACTGTGTTTCGAGCAGTTGCAGAATCTAATGATCACAAGTACCTAAATGTGCTGATTTCCAATTATTTTCTCAATTGGGACCACTAACTTTGGTTAATCACCAGGTAGAAACCCAGTTTCCGAAACCTTAGCGACAAGTTTAAATCTATAGTTGAAGATGTTGTGTGGCTACAGAAAATAAAATACCAACACTCGGACAGGTTTATTGAATGTAATAAAAATACGATACTTTATGCATGTATTAACTTACAGTTATTGTCAAGTATTATCTTTGCAGTTAGGTAAACGTGACGCACGTGAAATCGAAGACTTCGGTTGTTAGAGAGTGCAACAATATAACCATATAAACTTGATGCTATCTAATAATCAACTGAACTTTGCAAAAATGTCTCATTACGCCTGTAGTAAATTTACGAACATTGGTCATGAATATCATCTAGGGCTGATTTGTCTTGTCGTACGGTGTGTCATGAAGATTTTTTAAGAAAAATACGGAGTTATATTTGAATGCTAGGAATTCCATAATATACTCACTTATGAGTCAGACGAGTATCCATACAATTAACAGCTTACGTTTTTCTAAGGAAGAGCCATCTTTCTTAAAAGCCAAAACTTATGAGAGTTGATAGCAGTTATTTGTATCAGGGGCGAGAATTATGGTATATGGAAGAGGAGACTCAAATTTAACCTTATTTCTTTTTCAAAATACTTAACAAACTATCCTTCACATCCAACCAGGCGATTCAATATGCTAAAGCTTCACATTACAACATTCGTAACTCCTAGTCTTTAGCGAAACAAACATATTCTAGATCTTCTCTCTATATGAATTACTTTACTTGTAAGTTTTCTAGGCTCTGGAATAAGCTACCTCAAACTATCCGTACGTTAAGCTCTCTCCCATTGTTTGTTCGATCCATTATTGCCTATCGCTCTTCTGAAAATGCATTAAATGCTCTAGCGCCTGTAAGTGTATCTTACTGCACAAGTGAGATTATCGGAACTTTGAATGTTCAACCTCTTACTTGCTATCATTGTTTTGTTGTTCCGTGCTCTTTGCTTTTATCTTACTTTCTTTAGTTGTAGATAATTATCAATAAATCGCTCTGGCACTGGAAATAACCTTACAGAACAACGTCCATAAATCATCAGGCTATCCGTTCAAGAAAAAATGAAAAGTTCCCTGGTGTTACATCGGCTGGCCGTGATATATGCCATGTATATACTACTTATCAATTACTAATCCAGCAGACATAAAACTTTCTTATATTTCATGTCTGTTCTCTACACTAAATGTTGCTTTCTATATCAATCTGATCATGCCTGTAAACTGGTGTGAATTCTGTAAATATTATTTTCAGAATTTATTATTATTATTATTATTATATTATCGTCTACCTAACAGGACCTTGAGAGCAATCTGTTGATATAAAGAAATGAAATGCATGTTTTACATGCATAGGCTTGAGATATGTGCGTTCCATCAATTTCGGACTGGTAAAAGGGATTCTGTCTAGCTTGATACTGCACATGTAATGCAAAGATGAGAATATTTTATTTTGGCTAAATGGCTTCTAAATATCAACCCCTGCTTGGGTATGGTGTCATTCGTAATTGTTTTAAATTGTAAATGCTTTCAGTCCCGGGATTATTAATATGGGGCACTCTGTACTTCCGATATAATTTGTTCACATTGCACACACGGTTTGTGTTGTTATATAATCTAAAACGAGTCTTTCAAAAATGCTTCGTGCGCCATGCGGAAGAGCGTAGTTTGTTTTCATCAAATAAATTTTCGTTCATTAGATGCGTGTTCATACCAAATACTGAAATGTTGGTCATTGTAATGTTAAATAAATATCACCAGTAAACATGCCTTAATTATTCCATCACAAATGACTAGACTCCAATAGTCTTAAACACTGTCCATCCTGCTTCTCGCTCTGCTTTTTTCCCCTTTCATTTTCAGCACCCTCGAGGTATACCTTCGAAAATATATGACTTCGTTATATGCCGTTATCAGAGTTTATCTGGGATCACTATCAAGAAACACAAATATAATTCGTTAAATTTGACGTCTTTGACCAACTGCTCTGGAAATTAATTTCATTGATTCTCAACCACCAAGCGCTTGTCGCAACACCCCCCCACAAAACGCATCACCTCTCATATTGAACATTGGAGCCTTACGAAAATTATTATTCGAATATATGAAACGTTGTCCACTGTTTATCTAACAGATATGCCCAATAATATATCATTCTTATTGAGTAACTAATTAGAGTAAGCCCTGTAGCATTTATAACAATCTGATCTTACATGTAAACTGCCACGCCTCGTGTAAAATATTGTTTTACGAGAGTATATATTGTTATTATTCTAGTAAATGCTTTCCATGGATTGTACTGGAGTCATGAAATTTGCAGTTATTGGGAATCACGAAGCAACCAGCATTTTTTCAGGCATTTTCATATCTTTAAGGAATATGCCAGATCTAGGCATCATTACCAAGTTTTGGTTTGATAATTTCGAATAAATAAAGCATTGGGTAAA